TGATCTTATTTTGATATATAGCTTAAAAGATTCGGATTTTACTCGCGGTTAGTTATTAGTATTGGGCAAGGGTATAGAGTTCGAAAGAGAGTTGTTTGTTTTTTTTTGGGGGGGGGAGTGAATTACTAAGGTCCAAGAAAAATTAGCTAAATCAATAGTGCCCAAGTAGGCCTACTATAAAAATTGTTTGAAAATTTGGCTCGTTTTTTACAAAAAGTTGCAATGTTTATTTAGGGAAATAAGGTTTCTCGTCACTTCTAAGGGCTTTACTGGGTAAAGTAGTAGAAGTAATAAACCGGGAGTGATCTCCCCTAAACTTTCTCGAATATTCTTATATAACACTACGGGGGATGGCAACTCGGGATGTAGACATCATTGTTAATCAAATATTAATTACTTAAACATTTTATAATAGAATAGAAACTAAAGACAAAGGGAACACAGTAGAGTTATTAATATCTTGATCATGACCTCATTTTCATTCCTACATACATTTAATAGTTCTAAATTAAATTGCACATTTATATGAATTAGAATGAGTTATGGATATTAAAGTTTCTAAACCTAAAGATATATACATTTTCATTTTGGTTATTATGATATTAAATTTTCAACTAATAAGTCTTATTGCATTTTTAGTGAACAACGCTTTTATTTAATAAAAACATTTGTGATTTTTTTTCTATATATTGCGTAGAAACATGAAAAACAGTACTGATAATATGGTTGTTGAATATGGTTTACATCCTTGCAAAACTTAAGGATCTACTTAGTTTAATCAATATATTATAAACTTTAAGTATTTGTTTAATTCCAAGATGTTTTGGCAAATTATGTTCTACTTACCGATAGGTTGAACTGTAAAAAGATATAAAAAAAAACTTGTTTAAGCTGTGTAAAAGTAATAAATTTAAAACAGTAGGCCCTATATGTTTCTACTAAATACATTAACAAATCAAACAAATAATTTTTTTCTACTTACTCAAATTATCATCTGCAAAAAGATAGAAAAAAAGGTAGCAATATGGTTGTAAATGTAAATATGTTAAAACAGTTATGATTCTACTAAAATAATTTAGGAAATCAAACAAATATATACCAAAATGCCTATTTTAAAAAAATCAAACTAAAACATAGGTAATGTAGTTCTCAAACATATATTTGTAAATTTCCAACACATATTTGTTAGTAACATTTTTAATATTGGATCCATGTTTAATAAAATTATTTATAGATACGAATTTTCAGAAATTGTAAACTTTTAGTACAGTTTGGATATCCCCATCTATATACCACTAAAACTAAAAAAAACACTAAAAAGTCAGTATCATTAAAATTAATAGAACTTTTAAAAGTTCCCTGTGACGTCAGTATATGAAGAAATACTGTGGTCAGACCCATGCTCAGCCGAAATCGGTGTTTTTAAAAGATAAAAACCACTTTTGGAATGTGGGGTCTGGTTATTTTGTGATTATAAGTCACAGACGTAATGTCATTTATGGATGACCCCCGAAACCCACAGTTATCCAAGGGATGACCGGGAAAGTCTAGTTATCTAATAAAACGTGATAATTTCTATGTTTGAATATGTATATTTATTTAGATTTTTCATTCGGAGTTTTGGATACAATTTTATATTTAAAATTGCGTTTCACTTTAACCACGCCACAACCGATTTGATTTCTACATCGGGGCGTCTTACGCGATTACACAGTAAAAGTTTAAAGTAGTTAACCGAAAATAAGTTATCTTAATATATTTTTATAGTTGAAGAAATCGACATTTAAGTTTTAAAGAAACTTTCTAAAACAATAGTAAATCAAAGTCAATTGATAAAAATGACGGTGAGCCAAAATATATTTCAATCATAGTCAAGTAGAATAAACGACGTTTAGCATACACTTGTATTCCATGAAATTACAAGTTGACTGACTCACACTGACATCGAAATGATAGAGACCACCAACAAGCGTAGAGATATTATCTTATACAATAAATGTTTACCGCCAAAACAAATTTGCAACAGCATTCAAGCTTATACCATCGATAGCCTTTGAAGCTTTTATAACAAAATCTAACATTAACACTAAGCTCTGTCTGATTTTTACATAAACAAATACAGTCAATTAAAATTTAGAAATATAATATTCTTAGACTAAAACTATGTTTCGATGCATGTGACCAGTTACAATAACGATTTTAAATGTTAAAAAATAAACACGAATCTATATATTTATGTACGCTCCTGAAGATGTAAATTTCCGTCGACTGTTGTTCATTCCTGTTGCTAAAGGGAAAGAAACTTTATTATATACATATATAAAAATACAAATATTCAAATATTTATAGGCGCTATATATATTTGGTACTCATTCGATTTATTATTGCAGGAAGATTTAACTTATCTCTAACGTATAAAATGCAAATAAAATACATTTAATTTGTAAATGTAACGAATTATATGTGTAATTGCTTATTATTATAATTAATCTTAAGTATTTTTTGTGGGTTAGTATACAAGTTGTCGACAGTGCCTTAGCTAGGACAGCGCGGATGGGGTGGCCGCCTTGGGCGCCGACCCCAAGGGGTGCCAAAAGGAGTACAAAAATTCATTTAAAAGTTTCTTTTAACAGTCAAAGTTACGAAAATAAAGGACCACAAGGTTTTACACATGACTTAACTATTTTCTATATCAATTTTAGGGTATCGAAAAAGAAAATGCTACGGGATAGTAACTGGTAAAAAGCGCCATACAATTTTTCAACGGTGGGAAGGGGGGGGGTAAGGAACTGGGTGCACAGATATGAAAATTTATACATATAAATGAAAAAGTAAGGTGAAAACAGTGATAGTCCGCCCCTGACACCAGTATTGGTCGCTACGTCCCAACAGATTGGGACACGGTTGTCTAACGAGTACCTTTTTAAAATTCTAAGTAACATACAAAAGAAAATTGCAACCTTTTTTACATTAAAGAAACGTATAATATGACAAAATTAATAGTGGCGTCGCTAGGTCCGGTATCACCCGTTGACGCACCTCATGGTATCACCCCCAACATATATATATATATATATATATATATATATATATATATATATATATATGCCTGCATAGGCATATCTATTTTTTAACCGGATAAGGAAACGTATCCGAAAACGGACATTTTATCTATAAAAGGAAATTTAAACACAAACGAAAGTATCACACAGTGGAAAGTAAACTGGAAATAGTAATTTAACCAAAATCGAACATTATTACGCAAAAAACTAAACACGTTTTTATTCTGAATCAACATTTTAATTCGGCATTAATCTTATGCATTCGGCACAGTTTAATATCTTTAGAATGTTTGTCTTGTAAAATTTCACTACAAATACAATTATTTTAAAAAACTTATTATAATCTACTTATTATTATATGTTCCAGAGGCAGCTGGGAAAAAATCCAAACAAAGTATTAATGTTGTACTAAATGTAACTAATATAATTTGTTTATTCAAAGCAATAAAACGTTATCAATTATTTTAATATGACTTTGAAATAGCTAGTGACTGCAACTGTAATAGTTAATTTATTTTTAAAATTGCAGACACTTTAGTAGATTATGTTTTCCACGACCGATTTAGTAAAACTACAACTTGAAATATTGTACATTCGTGCGAAACATTTAGAAACATGTATTATTCGTGAAGTCTCTAGGAAGATTTAGTTTTCAAAGGAAGCATAGTAAAAACAATTTTTTCAAACCTGTTAGTAATATTACTTTTAAAAACAGCCTTATTTGCACACTCCAAATCCAACGAAATCGGCACGTTTCAATTACATTTTTTGAGAATGTTTGTTGATACAACACCAAAAAATACACTAATTTCAGAAAACATTACGGGAGACAAAAACTTCCTAAAAAAGCGAAGTTTTCTTATTTAGTAAATGTAACTACTATACTATTTTTATTCTACCAAAAATAATAAAACATATATAAATTATTTTATACGAGTGGAAAATAGGTAATTACGAAAAATGTAATAAATTTAATTTGAGAGAACCACTCCTATGCGATATTAGATTTTGTAACAGTAGACACCCCTGTAAGTTACATTTTTACAACCGACTTCTTAAACCGAAAGCACAATAAATAGCTACCTTTTTTAGAAACAAATTACCATTTACCTACCAATTTTTCTGAGAAAAACCAATTGAAAGTATTTACGTTGTAGTATATGTAACTAATATCAAATTGTTTATTCTACAAAAAAATCTACATTTGTACACAGTAAATGAAATAAATGCTAAATGCTACAGTCAAAATCACGCAGGACAGTTAATGATGGAACTTGAAGTGCTTATTTCATCATTCCCACACAGTAAACGCTGCAAACGTTTCTTAAATGTTGGGACACTGGATAATTGAGTGTAAAATATTATATTTTATTGACTAAGATTAAAGACACGTATTATTCGAATTATTTTTTAATAAATGCTTCTAACAACTTGTTTACTAATTGTTAAACAAACTAATTAGTCTATTTAAAAAATCGAGAGTAAAAAAACAACGACGCTTCAGGTTTCTGAATCAGCTTTATTGCTTCATTCAGAGAAAGGCAATTTCCAGTTGAATTGCAAGTACATATAGCACTTTATTAGGTCCTTATACATTACTCGTTATTCTAATGTCAGCAACTGTCCTGATCACCCGCAGCCGCGGGTTTTGAATGTCTTCGACACCCACACAACTAGCCAGAGTTCAAGAGGTCACACGAAATGGAAAACACGGGGAAACTAATGCTCACCGACTTGAACAGTTGCGATTCCAAAGTGGCCGCAGATTTCCCCCCCCCCTCACTAGTAACCCGTGGGGTGTGTTTCACGTTTGTTTTCCAACTCTCATCACATAGAAAATCAGCAGAGCTTAATTAAAATGTTCTAGAAACGTTAGATTTATAGGCTGCAACTCTAATAACAAAATAACAATTTTAGAAAAATAAATCAACTACTTACCAAGTACAAATCCACTTATTTCTGGAACAAAGCACATAATTTATTCATGTTGTAATAAATGTAACTAATATCTAACTTTTTACTGTACTAAAATTAATCTAATATTAAGAGCGTATATTAACAAGAGCGGGAAAGGGTAAGGACTATATTAAAATTAATTAGAGTAGTCAAATCTGTATTGATGTTATTATTTGAAACTATACAATTTTTTTTTCCTTTACCACATTTGCTTTTCTAAATATACACATTTTATATTTTTCACAGGATAAAAAACATTTTCTGAGGGTAAAATTTTTGATTTAAAAGTGTTTGCATATATATATATATATATATATATATATATATATATATATATATATATATATATATATATATATATATATATATATATATATATATATATATATATATATATGTCTAAATAACTGCATATAAAAGTAAATTAAACAGCAATGCAATAGGTTATGATTAAAGCGGAAACATGTACCCATTTGAATTCTTAATGTATTGTAATGTTACTTTTACTGTAAATGTAACACTAGATTTTGCGACCTTATGGGATTTGTCAGTAATATCACTAAATATAATATTCTTAACGATTATTTCCACATTTAGCTTGCTCGAAATAAACATATATATTTAAATTAGGAAGAAATATTTAATCTTTAATTAATACATATCTTTGTATTGATTTTAGTCTCCAATAGTTGTTAAGAGAGCTGATAGCTTAACTGAAACATTCAATGCAACTCACCAGTCAGCTGAGATTCTGGAAAATATGGATTAGTAATTAATGAAAATTGTCTTAAAAATAAAAAAAAAATGTTTTAATTAACAAGCTTTTATGTAACAATGCACTAAATATGTAAAAATAAACAATTTTATTTAACTATATAATAAAACACTACGATTTAAATAACTGTAAAAAAGCGTGGGGCACTAAATAATCTATTGGATACCTTTACTAATATTTAGGAAAAGACCCACGCTTTTCCTGTATAGCTATTTAAGTAGTAGTGTATTATTATATATTTAAGTAAAATCATATATTTTCTACTTTTAAGCCTCTTCCTAATTATTAGTAAAAGTATCCAATACATATTATAGCGATTCACGTTTTTCTTTATGGTTATTTAAATAGTAGAGTATAATAAAGTATTTAAAGAAAATCATTAATTATATTACAAATCAATAAAAATACAAGTTTCTAATGTTATAATTTTGATTCCCATGTAACGAACAAATTTGTTTAACTTTGTAATAAAAAAAATATGGGTGCACGCAAAATTTTAAAAAAGCACAAGAACTAATGTACACATATTGCATTCTATGAAAACCTACTAAGGCAAATAAGTCATAATCCTTCGTTTTTTTTTCAACAGGACAATAAAATTTCCAGTGAACATGTATACATTTTTAAAACATTCAGAGTTTGTCTAAGATGTAAAACTTACCCTCTTTACGTTTGGAAAAGCAAGAATTCCCCATTATCCATACGCAGCTGATTCCATAAATTATAAACAAAAGAGTGATTATGAGAAATAGACTTTTTGTGTGTTTTAGAATCATGTAATACACATATACCTACAAATGATTAAAAAAATAACCTTAATATAAAACAAATTATAATAATAGAAGTTAAGTAAAAGGTATATTTAGCCGCTTGCTTTATACAATTTGGTAAGACAATGCGGTGTGTAAAAAAGGGAGGCAAATAAATGAGTCTTTCTTCGTTATCCATTTTTAATTTGTTCTTTAATGTTAACATTTTAATGAAGTTATAATACTTTATGATTTAAAAAGCTAGGAGATTATTTGCTGCTAACAATATACAATGCGTTTTATGAGTGATACTTAAGTCATGTGTAATTTTACTGAACGGATTTTTAAAACAAACTGCTGGAACATATATATATATATATATATATATATATATATATATATATATATATATATATATATATATATATATATATATATATATATAATAGTTTCACTATTCTGTCACTCTGTCTGTCACTATCTGTCTTTCAGGAACATCATAGAGAAAACACAAGCAAACAAAAAACTTTCACAGTAAAAGAAAAACGAAACATCACGTCACATGGAATATCTAGTAGGGAATATTCTAAAGGCGGAAAAGCACACACAGCGATTCTAGAGTAAACATAGAGTTAAAAAGCCATAAAAAATACACCATAATAAAGACGTCAAACGGAATAGAATTTATACTGAAAATATATACTTTTAATCAAAGGGTGATTTTTCTCGTATAGTATATTCTAAAATCCGTTCAATACTAGAACACGATAATTGATTAAAGATATGTAAACTAACTGACAGAATATATGTTATTAATCCTTCATTTTTGTTGGTACTACACATTTGACACTTATATGTTGATAGGTTTTATGTATGGACGTCAATGTGTCCCCAACCTACCGCAGTCCAAAGAGAAACGGACTGACGGACGGACGGACGGACCAACAGACAGACATACAGACATACAGACAGGCAGACATACAAACATGCATACATACATACATACATACATACATACATACATACATACATACATACATACATACATACATACATACATACATACATACATACATACATACAGACAGACAGACAGACAGACAGACAGACAGACAGACAGACAGACAGACAGACAGACAGACAGACAGACAGACAGACAGACAGACAGACAGACAGACAGACAGACAGACAGACAGACAGACAGACAGACAGACAGACAGACAGACAGACAGACAGACAGACAGACAGACAGACAGACAGACAGACAGACAGACAGACAGACAGACAGACAGACAGACAGACAGACAGACAGACAGACAGACAGACAGACAGACAGACAGACAGACAGACAGACAGACAGACAGACAGACAGACAGACAGACAGACAGACAGACAGACAGACAGACAGACAGACAGACAGACAGACAGACAGACAGACAGACAGACAGACAGACAGACAGACAGACAGACAGACAGACAGACAGACAGACAGACAGACAGACAGACAGACAGACAGACAGACAGACAGACAGACAGACAGACAGACAGACAGACAGACAGACAGACAGACAGACAGACAGACAGACAGACAGACAGACAGACAGACAGACAGACAGACAGACAGACAGACAGACAGACACACACACACACACACACACACACAGACAGACAGACACACAGACAGACAGACAGATAGACACACAGACTCATAGACAGACATATTTTTATATATTTTTGTCCTCGTTTTTAGATTTCGGCTTAAGTCGATATTGGGACGGATTAGTCTAGCGGTAGAGAGCTGGACTGCTACCCCATAAGTCGAGTTCGAATCCGGGTTCAAGTCAGTGCACCGTCCCTGAGGCCACCCAGCTCTGATGGGTACCCAACTCATGTTAGGGAAAGTAAATGCTGCTGGGCATAGTGCTGACCACACTATCTCTTCATATACCGAGGTGAACTCCACTTTCCCTATAGACCGTCAGGTTTGAAATGGGAACTTTACTTTTTTACGTCAATGTGGTTTTTTCCCGGGTTTATTGTCCGGGGTTATTGTACGGGGTTATTTTCGGGGGGTTATTGCGGGGTTTATTGACTCAAAGTCGTCGGTAAAAGACTTCACCAAATAGCATACAATATTTTACACATTTGCTGATCGATGCTCTTTTTTTTATTTTTTTTAAATGATTATACAATATCATTATTATATACGTTTTTTAAAATAATTGTTCTATTTAAATACATTTTCCTCAAAATCGATTTCTCATATGTTCAACATTGAAAAGTAGCTAATGTTTTACATTAGTGAATTAAAATAAACTTACATTAGACACGGGTAGAAGTACTTTGTTAAAATATTCTCCTGCTAAGGCTTCCGTCTTCAGCGACTTAACAGCCGAATGATTCACGACACTGGTGTGTAGAAACTGTAGACCTGGTTCCGCTTGGCATCACCTTTTTATTTGTAAAAACTAGGTGCCCTACATTTATAATATCTGAGTGTATGTGGATGAATCATTGTTGGCAGTACATAAATGAATGGCATTTTTCTATCTCTATCCTAAGTCATTACATACATAGAACCAGATACGTGCAATCACGAGTATCAACACACATATACAGAAAGTTAAGTGTTAAGAGAAATTGGCCACACATACAGTCATTTAATATGATCAACATAAGCAATCTCCTAAGCACTCATACGGTGATACACTCGCAAGAATGCACGAACAATGTACATACACATAAGGACAGTTACGGTACACACACATAAAAACACACACAACACACACATACACACTCACACACAAACACACACACATGTACACAAACACTCACAGCACATACAAACACACACACAAACACATACATACCACATACACACATACATACAAACACACATACACACACAGCACACACAATTACGTAACAGATATACACGTAAGCAAAATTTTGTATGATGGGATTTCCAATTTACATCCTGACAAGAATTTTAGCTCCATCTATAAATAGTTGCGCCACGTAATTCGGATCTAGAGCAACTAGGTAAAAGACCAGAAAATAAGACCTATACGGAATGTAGACTTACAAACTCATACATAAGAAACATAACACACACACACATACGCCTACATACACAAATACAGTAGGCCCCTATGCACACAAACACAGAAACGTAAAAAAGAAGGCGTATTATGAAGTATAAATATGTCTTAAAAATAATCGAGAGCATCCGCCTGCTAATGCTTATGTCTCGAGTTCGGATCATGGACCCGACTCCGTATCAAGTCGGCCCTGGTCTTATGGGTACCTGTCTCACGTTAAGGAAAGTAATATCGGCTTGACAAAGTGCTGATCATTATATCCCTTAATATGCTGAGATCACAAAACAATAGATTCAAAAGGGTAATTTAATTTTATTTAAAAACTAAAGGTTAATTTTTAATCTAACACATATTATTGTACATTTATAATGTAACCACATTAGTTATATTACAAATTAAAATGTATGTCCTTCGTTATATTTTATATGAGAAAGTATGTATACAGAGAACTGTTTTTTAAACCACTACTTCTTAGACTTGTTGAGTATAATAATATCATTAAATTATATACCAAGTTAAAAAAATAAGAAAAAATAAATGAAACGTCTATTATACAATACGCTAGTCATACTACTGTACTCATTTAGTCGTTACAATAGGTATGAAACACCAAATTGTGCTAGATTTTTACCTGTGTTCAACAAACCATAAAGGGTCAATATGATAACACGTGTGGCTACTGTACTTGACGGTAGCTGAGCGACACGTCTCGTCCCTAACACCCATTGCCCTGACCATCCCCCTCTCTATCTCCCCTAACCCATCAGTCTATAACAGCAACACCATCCCCCACCTTGTATATTGGCTTTTTCCCAAATCTCGAGGATAACATTACACCCAACTAGAGGCGTATACAGGTTTTCGGTGTAGGGGAGCGAAAATAGCAAAAAAGCGCTGAATTTGTAATATCTTCTATATAAGTGTATATATATATATATATATATATATATATATATATATATATATATTTATTTATATATTTATATATTTATATATACTACAACCAAAAACAATGAACGCATCATAATCTGTTTCGTAATCCTGGGACATTAATTAAGACAAGCGAAAAGGAGCCGCTGCTCTCCCTGATCTTCCCCCCTGCGTACGCTATTGCACCTAACCCCCACCCCTACCATCAGTTTGCCTTCTTCAAAACAAAACAAAAATAGAGCATGACATCACATCCAACCCTCCACCATCACCCACACCCCCACACCCCCACCCCATTAGTTGGTCTTCTTTCTTGAAATAGAGCATGACATTACACCCAACCCTCCCACATTAATCACCACTAATCCTCTCAATCACAAATTTTACATTGTTTGTAGGCTGACGTGATGGCAGAGCTATATTTGGCAATCACGATTCGCCGTTGTCAATACGTAGAAGTTGATTTTAGCAGCGACTGAGTTAGAATTAGAAACTAAATAAGACACCGTTTTTAATAAGGTTTAGCTGTTATGTTCAATGAGTTGATCATGTCAAACATATATCAGTATCTGGCTTGATTGTCATATCTGATCCGTATCTCGTCAACGATAATCAGCAAAGTGATGTTTATATTTCCTCTATAGTTCTGGCTCTATGTCTTCTCGGTGTAACTAGAACCGTGTCATATATTTTCTCCGTTCTTAATTGTTAGTATTGGAGAGGATCCCCCTCCAACACAATTAAGTATACGTGTCAACTTGTTAATTGCCATTGAAGCCATTGACTCCGATTTAAGCCTTTCTTTTTGGATTTGCTTCCATAGCCTTTGTCCAACAAAGAACAAACTACAAGGCAGCAGTTGTTTGATTTTGGAGTTGTCTCTCCTAGAAGAGCGGCTGTCTCCAGCTAACGAGCCTCATCTGGCCGAGACGGTGTAATATAATCCCAGCATAACGTTTAATGTTCATTTTATAGTCTTACTTGACCTCCATGCTGGGGTTTTATGTATCGAGTATGAAGATCTAATTCAAGCAGAAATGTTTCTCAACAAACGATAATTTTAAAAGTGTCTAGTTGTCTTCGCTCTGACTACTCTTTAAAGAATCATCTAAACAGCCTGCTTTTAAAGAAGCGCAATGTATTTTGTAAAACATGTTTTCTTATTCGCGAATGTTTAATATATTTAGAGAGGGGTTGAATGGGCTGAGGTATTTAATTAGTATATGAAGCAATTCTTAACAATTCATTGATGAATTATTCTTTTGTTTTAAACACGGTTTTGTTTCTACTTAAAAAGAAAACACCATTAATTGTGGGGTTTTGTTTTATATATAAATATGTGTGTGTTTGTGTTCGTATAATTACGAAATAGTAATCGTTAATGTTTACACATTTTTATTATTATCGTATTAAACATAAACAACTATTCCGTAATCTATTGGGGGTACGTAATATAAAAAACATAAGCTGAGTTTTTTTTTTAGTTGAGTCAGGTTTATTTAACAGTGATATAAATTACCTATCCCCAACATCTGAAGTTTGTTTTCACATAGCAAAGTTCAACCTTCAATTATTTTTGTAATGTCTGGCTACGTGTAATGTGTAATTGGTATTCTTTGTGTGTGACGTCATTCAGGCAAGAGGATATACATTCGCGCACCGAATAATTTGCAGTATGTAATAACAATTATGTAATTTTATAACGTCAGCCTTAATTTTTTACACAATACTCCTAATAACTAACTGCCTCTTATCTTAACTCGGTATTTGAAGGGATAGTGTTGTCAGCACTAAACCTCGCCAACTTTGCTTTTCTAACGTTAGTCAAGTACCTATCAGAGCTGGGTGGACTCAAGGACGTTCTTGGAACTTGATCCAGGATTCAAACTAGAAACTTTAGGGTTATTATTCTTTTTCTTAGCTTTGTAAACAATAAATTGTAAGTACGAAAATTTTTGTCTAATATATGAGCTTGCTTTTAAATACTTGTTATATTTGGTTACAATAATTAAGAAATAGCTTGAACAAAATGTAAATGTATAAACGTTCTTTACTCAAAGGCCTTTAGTCGACTGAATTTGAAGAAACTCTCTTGAATGGTGAAGATGAAAGTGTTCGTTGGATTGTTGTTGTTTGGTGTTGCCGTGACCATTCAGCCTACACATGCAGGTAGAAATAATTTCATTAACTTATAGATATACATTAATTTCATAAAAAGGTTATAAATGCAATTTACGAAATGTTTTTAATAAAAAATACAAATTCTATTACTATTTTTTCAAACGATCCAATCTTAATACACAAACCTACTTGAAGGTGACGGTAACGATATAACACAACATCGAGTTAATGAACTTAAAATAATGATAGCAGTTATATGTCACTAAAAGCTTGTTAGTGAAGTAATTAATTAATTATTTAATTATGCTTATAGCTCTTGTATTGAGAGAGCTGCGCCTAAGAATTTAATCGACAAACAATTTTCTCTGTAAACAAACGAATAACAGGATTAAAAATTCTAATATGTGTATCAGTAAAATAAATATTCCCAAGCCCTAGAGTGCCCAAGTGAAGACTGGATCAAATCTACCAAACACTGCTACTACCTACAGACAAACGAGTCGACATGGAGGGAGGCTCAAAGATTTTGCTACGTATTCGGCTCCAACCTGGCCAGTTTACATTCAGAAGAAGAGATCGCTTTTTTAAACACCAAGGTAAAATTATACGAACTAGTAAAAACAGCCATAGTACCATCACTAATATGATGTTTAACCTTTAATTTTTAATGTGCACTGTTTTTAAGAGCACTAAAAATTTTGAGATTTTTAATTTTAAGAAATGAAACCTAATTTTTTTGTTTTGATGGTGTAGCTGTTCGGAAAGTTTAAGACCCTGTGGATAGGTTTTTATACGCCGTTTCATGACGACAATTGGAAGTAGGTTTTTAAACCTGTTTTATAAAACAATATAATACAAGTAATTTAATTATATAACAGTAACTGAATTATCTTTATTAGAAAAACGTACAATAAAAAACGTATGTAGCAAAACGTACAATAAAAAATGTATGAAGTTTATTTAATTAGTTTTTTTCCGTTAGATAATTAAATGATGTCCAAAATTACAGGTGGTTCGACGGTACAGACGCCAAATTTACGAGCTGGGTCGCTGGTCAGCCCAAAGTCTACACAGAAGACTGTGCTGCTACTTATGTAACTACAGGTCACGATGTTATTTAATTATTTTACTGCTACATATGTAACTACAGGTCACGATGTTATTTAATTATTTTACTGCTACATATGTAACTACAGGTCACGATGTTATTTAATTATTTTCCTGCTACATATGTAACTACAGGTCACGATGTTATTTAATTATTTTACTGCTACATATGTAACTACAGGTCACGATGTCATTTAATTATTTTACTGCTACATATGCAACTACAGGTCACGATGTTATTTAATTATTTTACTGCTACATATGTAACTACAGGTCACGATGTTATTTAATTATTTTACTGCTACATATGTAACTATAGGTCACGATGTTATTTAATTATTTTACTGCTACATATGTAACTACAGGTCACGGCGTTATTTAATTATTTTACTGTTACATTTTTTTTTTAATAATATTTTCGTTTCAGATTTTCCTTAATTTAATACAAGCTTAAATTATTGTGTTATCCTGGAACCCGGTGGCCTAGAGATAGAGTGCTAAACTGCAAACCTAATAGTCTAAAGTTCGAATGCGGGTTCATGTCAGTAGGTCGTCCCTGAGTCCACCCAACTCTAAAGGGTATCTAACTCACGTTAGGGAAAGTAAAGACGGCTAGGCATAGTGATGACCACTCTATCCCTTTATATGCTGTGGTCAAGATACATAAACTCTACTTCATCTGCCCATGTCTAAAGAGGAATCTTTTTGTTTGTTTTGATATCACCAGGTTAAAATGTCTGTATTTTTCTGGTGTTTCTTAATTGTTCTTGTTGTTTCACAAAAATTGATTTTTTTTTTTAGAATTTAGATGCACACATCTCGCGTAGTAAAAAGAGAATGACAAATGTTGATATAAAAAGTGCTTAATTCCTAAATAAATGGCATGACTTTCACTGCGACACTAAACTCTACAGTATTTGCTTCAAAGCACAGTTCAAAATGGAATTTCCGGTGGACGAGTTCTAGACTTCTACTTCTTGGTCTCCAAGCTTTTTATTTGAATTTATTGCAATTTTTTTTACAGAATTTTAGGTAGACTGTATAGAAACCAAAGGCAAATATTTATGGAGACATATTTGAATAAACAACATTCAAGATTTTTAGTATAGAAACCTAATGCAAATATATATGGTATATATATATATATATATATATATATATATATATATATATATATATGATTGCGTTTATAATTACATTAAAGAACGATGGAAATTGGCTCTGGTAATGCCGATACATGTGAAGAGACCCTACAGATCGGCAGAAATCTGTTTTGTGAGTCCCTGGTCGAATGTGACACGTGGGTGGCGAGCAACGAAAACTTCACCATCCGGTACCACACGGAGAACTACCAAGGTCCACTCAAACTGAGGGTATGGGGCGGTTTGTTGTTGTGTTTAACTTGTCCGGTACTACACGGAGAACTACCCAAACTGGGGGTATGGGGCGGTTTGTTGTTGTGTTTAACTTGTCCGGTACCACACGGAGAACTACCAAGCTCCGCCCAAACTGAGGGTATGGGGCGGTTTGTTGTGTTTAACTTGTCCGGTACCACACGGAGAACTACCCAAACTGAGGGTATGGGGCGGTTTGTTGTTGTGTTTAATTTGACCGGTACCACACGGAGAACTACCCAAACTGAGGGTATGGGGCGGTTTGTTGTTGTGTTTAACTTGTCCGGTACCACACGGAGAACTACCCAAACTGAGGGTATGGGGCGGTTTGTTGTTGTGTTTAACTTGTCCGGTACCACACGGAGAACTACCCAAACTGGGGGTTTGAGGCGGTTTGTTGTTTTTGACTTGTCTCTCTCGTCGTTGTAATGTGTAGTTGAGATAGCGTGCGATCTTAGGCGCTTAACCGATGATTTCAAATTGTGTGTATGTATTAAATCTTGCGGGTGCCTTGTGTGTTTCTTTATCTGAGTTGTGCTTGTTTTGCTGTTGTGTGCATCCTTGCAACAAAAAGTTTCATGTTATTAGTGAGAGCAGTGCCGGCGCCACATTATTTAGTGCCCTAGGCAAAACTTATTAAAACCGCCCCCCTCCCCTGCAATTCTTTTTCCTGCCCCCATATTTTCAGAGACATAGCGACCCCTACGTGAGACACTAACTTGAACCCTAGACTTTCGGGTCTGTGGGGATCTAACTAAAATTAGGAAAGGCTAAAATTAGGAAAGGCAGTTGGGCTAGAGATGATGAGAAAATCACTTCATTTTCCGATATAATAGAAATAGACTTTGATTAATCTGCTTTTGCGTCAGTAAAAGTACGATTGATTTTTTAAAATTTGGTTACGATTCGTGATTTGCTATGTTAGTATTCGCATTTTAAAATAATTTTTCAGTATTTCTATGGAATTAATTAACAAATTAAACAATGAATTCAGCATTGTGTTGTTACCCTATACACCACAAAAACGGTGAAATAATAATAAAAAATATCGTTTGTATTGTTTTTTCATAGCTCCTTGCACCCTAACTTACCACAGAAGTTTGATCTATTTTCAGGCTGAGATTGAATCTGTTAATGTTTTACCAACTACGAAGTAGCTGAAGAAAACAATTTTGAATGACATTTGAAAACATTTGAAAGAGACAAACAATCCATATTTTTGACATGCACTACAAATGTGATAATATTGCCCTTATTGCTTCTGATTATCTCTTTATTTGAAGTAACAATAAAAATTAAAGCAGTTAATCTTTCTAAACTGAATATCGTATTCATTTATGAGAAAGCGTTTGCAAACATACATTTTGAAAAATTATTTTCAATGAGACTAAATGTCTGTTTTATTTCAATACCTTATTTCTCAATACCAATTTTGATTAGCTTTTTAATTTAGAACACCACTATGTGTTTTTTACTATAATCTTCGGGTAAATATTTTGAAAAGTGTCATGTGAGAAAGTTTGTTCTTTTTGTGCTTCATGGTTTCTAAAAATTGTAATAAACCCAGTGTCCTTAATTCGACATGTATATCTTTGTTTTTATTTGAAAATCTAAAAGTTGACAACAAAATATATTTTTTAATACTATTGCTTTGGAATCTAAATTATTATAATTATGAAATACATCTTGTCTGTGCAAGGAACAAAAACTCCCATTAAACTCTTTTTTGTATAATGATACACGTTTCGATGTCCACAAATGTGTAATAAATACAAAGTAATACCTAAATAGTCATCTTTAAAGTCAGTCGTTGTTCTTGACAACTTTTTTAATTCAGTGAGTTAGGAGTGCCGATGAGAGATCCAGAGTCTTAACAAAACAACAAACAAAAAAAACAACAAGAAGCTAATATCGAAATGGCAGAGAGTTGTACATATTTGTTTTATGTTTTACTGCACAGTGTCCTGGAGGAATAGCAGGAACAAAATACTTAAGTCCAGATAAAAGCGATTAAATACAGGATTTAAATAACAAAGGGGCTTATAGCGAATATTTAAACTTTGTACCTAGATTGGAGAAAGTCACACTTCTAGGAGAGAAAACTCTACAATCAAATCAAACAACTGCTGCCCTGTAGTTTGTTCTTGGTTGGACAAAGGCTAAAAAGCAAATCCTGAAATAAAAGCAGCTGAAATCGGAGTCAACGGCACAAGTTGACACGCAATACTTATTTGTGCTGGACGGAATCCCTCCAACACTAAAATTACGATCGAACGAGAAGAAGACATCATAAATATTTGATATCAACAATAATCAAATAATATTTTGTGTACATATTTTATTGTGTACTAATAATTAATTATTAAATTAAAGTACTTTTAACATAAATAAAAATAATCTTTTTTTTTCAAATAAAAAATCTAAGACAAAAAAAATTCCGATTTAAAAAAAAAAGTAAAAAGTAAATAAATATGAATAGTTGATATTCTTCATTAAATATTGAAATTTTAGTTACATAGTGAAAATCATAAATATATGAATGTGAATCAAATATTTTGCATTTTAAATTACGGCATTCATTATTAAAAAAATTATTCGTCACAAAAAAAGTAATGAGTTTTACAATTAAGCTTTGTTGTTTAATCTTTAACAACAAAATAAATATATATCATAGAAAAAAACACACACACGCAACCAAATATTTCAAAAATGTTTTAGGTATTATAAGTACATTTTTAAATACATATCACCATATACAGCTTAAAAATTCTAAAAAAAAATCTTGTAGGAAAAAATGCACCTTACGTTAAGGTACAAGAAACTACAACGGTTTAAGTACAATTAAAAGAAAATACATTTGTACAGAATGGTTATCAAGTACCGTTGTGTAATTTAACCTACATTTTCAATTCCAGTTAAAAGTTATTCCATCATTCTATAAATAATGCTACATGTAAAATTAAGGTTAAACTAGAATGATAAAATGTAGATTTTACTATTTACAAATGGACTTGCTGATAACCTTCCCCACTGCAGTTGATCTTATCCTTACATCCACTGTGGACGTGAGGTACAAGCAAGGTGTCGCTAGAGAAAACATAAGCCCCGCTACTTCCTGGACATGTACTCATCTCATACGTGTACTTGGTACACCTGTACCACTCTTGGGGCTTCTGGATGTGTTGCTTCTCATATTTACCTATAGAGACTTGCTTAGAGCAGCCGTGTGGATGTGACACAATAAAAGACACGCCTTCTTCAAACTTGTGTGGACAATACAGGTAACTGTTGTACATTTTCTGGACTTTCTCGTACAATTCCATGTCATGTGAGGCACAAGAAAATCTGCAGGTGTCTCCCTTGATGCTCATGTCCCACATTCTCCAGCCATCTAACGTCACAACTGGACTGTCCGCCTGGTCAAAGAACAGCCTGCATGTCGCACTCTCAGCCTCGCTGTCGTCAAACACCACGTGGGTGGCTGTCATCACGCCCACACTCCACCAGGTGGTTTGAGGAGTGTCTGATTTCTTACACCCCTTACATTGACATGTGTTACCTTCTTCATCTTGATAT